CTGACCAGGGGGACTTAACGGCGACAGCTGTAGCCGCCTGCGGCCCCCCAAAAGCAGGGACAGGAGGATCCCCGGCAGCACGTGTCTCTCAGCCTCCCCAGCCATGCTCTCTGCTCATGGCGACCAAAGCTAATCCGTTAGCTGGGTGCGAGCAAGCGGCGAAAAAGACCCCAACAAACTTAAAATCTTAAATCTAACCTTGGACACGGACAAGAATACAGGAGGGGTGGGAGTCACGACTGAAAGGCTAAATAGGAGCTAGTTAAGGGCGGTGGCTACTTCCTGGAAAGCCAAACCGAAACTAGTGGCATTTTAATGTCATTATTTTCTGAATAAATCACCCAATCTACATTTCAGTATTTTTAGTTATATTCTTTTAAACGTATGACACTGCCAATACAGAGTATTTTAAAAAGACAGTCTAATTACTGCATGAATACATAGCAACAACCATCTGAAAACCAGGGTTTAGACAGAGCCCTGTAGATAAAACACGTTAAATAATCACAATGAGAGAACAAATGTGAGCTTTTTGGCATTAGACATACACATATTCTACATGGAAACAACTTACCGACTGGTCAATTGTGTTAAAACGATTACTGTTCAATCGGTGGAGTTATTGAATTGCCGTAACGGCTGGCAGACACCTAACGGCTTCTCAACGTGCCAGAGTACCCGAATACCGGTCTCTCCTCCGCACTAAAGGCAAGATTCCGCCTCTTGAAACGTTTCTAGCCAATGGAATTCAGAGCTGAGGCTTGACAACCAATCGCTTAAGAGGAGCGGAGAAGTGACGTTACACAGAGCCAATCCAGAGCCATCTCCGCAGCTCTCAGCCAATAAAGACGGGAGGCTGAAGGTGCGATGGTTTTAAGAAATAGCATACACTGAAATTGTTGCGTGGTGGTGTACTGCGGGTTTTTATCGCTTGGGGGCGACAGAAGTACTACATAAACGCACGCCGCATCTTTGTACAAACACTACGAATAGCACTGAGTGTTAACTCCTAAAGTTAATTTATTAATTTATTTATTTAATCCTAAAGTCTTATAAATTTGATTGGGGTTTTTTTTATAAATTGATCAAAATAAATATAAAAGATATAAAGAAATCCATCCTTTGTTAAAGCAGGGATGCATCCAAATGTTTAATGATCTAGAACTGAAGGACTGGCCTTGGCACCTCCAAAACCTTCAGATCAAAGGTTATTTATTTCTGTAATGGCCCAGTCAAAGTCAGGAAATAAATCCCCAAGAGGATCTGTGGGAATTGAGGGGTTGTTTTTCTGTTCCTGCTGTGGCAGAGAGGAGGCACCGCATGATTATGGAAGAGCTCCAGAGGTTGTTTCACATTCCTAACGCTGGAGTCTGGATTAGCGGGTGCGGATGGTAACTGGGTGCTCCAGCTCTCCCTCTGCTGTCTCTCAGGGGACCAAAATGAAATAAAGCACACAAAGTAAAGAATGCTGGAGCAGAGTCTCACAGAACCTTAACCTTATAAGGCAGTATACAGAGTTTATGAACATGAGATCCCTACAGCCAAAAAACACATCCTGTTTTTTTTTTTTTTAAGTAGCCTATTTCATATCGTTGACATACATCTTGTTAGTCTGTATTTTTAATATTGATGACCAATATTACAATTTAATTATATATATTTCTTATTTGATCTATTTTGCTTGAATAACAGAAGCTGCTATAGAGAGCAGAGGATTAAAGAAAGACCAGAGGACAAGTCTTTTGGGAAGGAATTATTTGAACAGTCAAGTCTTGCACCAATCATCAGTGGGATTTAGAGCAGTAGGTTCATCCAGAATCAGAATCAAGTTTATTACCAAGTAGGTTTGCACTTACAAGGAATTTGACATGGTGTTGTTGGTGCAGACAAACTGGATATATATACAGAATTTATAGCCATCTGTGGATATATCTATGGATATACTATTTTTGAAAAAATGATTGTTCTGATGAATAAGTTGCCCCTATGACTTTTTTATCAGTGGACTTTTGAAAAGAATGTGATTTTATTTAAACTTATGAGAATAAAGGATCTTAATTCAAATGCATGCGTGCATTTCTAGATTTTTACTTCTTAAAAAAAAGGATGTGAGATATTACAATCTTGGCCAATATCTAATGGCGATATTGTAATTTATAACTATATACAATATAAAACTTACAATATAATATGCAACATAGTGTCAATTGGACCATTTTAACACTTAAACAGATAGGTGTTGAAGCAGATATAGCTAAGATTGATTTATAAGATAAAAAGAATGATAAAAAATGCTACACAAGTCTCAGTTTCAACAAAAATGAAATATTTATTAACAAAACATTAACGATGGATAGTAGATGGGGGTATAGCAGCAGTGCATGTGCTTCACTTGATCTCAATTCATGGCCCCTGAATGCATTAATGAATCGACCAACACATGTACATCAGCCAAAACCATCCATCCATCCATTTTCCGTCACGCTTCTCCCAAGCGGGTTCGCGAGGGGTGCTGGAGCCAACTGTCTACAGGCAAGAGGCGGGGTACAACCTGGACTGGCCGCCAGTCCATCGCAGGGCAACACATAGCAAACAACCATTCACACACACACTCGCATCTAAGGAGATTTTAGAGAATCCAATGAACCTAACAGTCATGTTTTTGGACTGTGAGAGGAAGCCGGAGTACCCGAAGAGAACCCACATATGCTCAGGGAGAACATGCAAACTCCATGCAGACAGACTCAGCCAAAACCAATAAAAGACAAAAAAAAAAGCTAATGTTGGCTAAAAATCTAAATTAACCTAACTATCCTGGAAACTTTACCCAAGTCTTATACCTATGTTGCCTTGTTGGTTCCTTATTTTTCTTGATGCTGTTTATTCATTGACATCCTCTGACATTCCCATGACCCCACATAGAATATAACTTTATTTATGTAGAAATCAGTTTTTCACACAGATGACTCTATTAATTAAAGTTGCGTGCTAAAAGTTTAAATCCTCTTCCTGCGCTGGTCTGCTCTCATTCTGTACTATTTGTTCTGATTCAGGTCTGCTAATGCAAATTTTAACCAAAGGTTAATATTTAACCTGTTCAACAGAAAAGTGACAACCTCCACATGGCTTCTTTGTCCTTTTGCTTCCTCAAGTCAGCATCAACATTCAAAAACTTGATTTTCACCCTCATTTTACTTCTTTTTTTGGGGGGTTTAATTTTTTTGGCTTATATCTGAGAGAGGTCATGGTGGGAAGAAGACATTTTTCAGCTCCTTCACAGAGCTACCAGGATCTGGCAACCCTTGAGCTCAATTTCACATTACTTCTGTTCCTGTTGGTGCAGAATCATTTCACGTCAACTTGTATATTTATATATTTCAGATTCGTCAAAATGTATAAAAGGTTCAGTTAAATTATAACTTTATTTTGATATACTATTATAAAAAAAAAAAAAGTATAAATAAATAAGTTGACACTATGGCCTTTTAATCAGGGGACTTTTGAAAAGAATGGGGTTTTATATAAGTTATGAGAGTAGAGGGTCTGAATTCAAATGCATGCATGCATTTCTAGATTTTTACTTCTAAAAAATTAGGGATGTGAGATATTGTAATCATGGCCAATATCTAATGCCAATATTGTACAATTCAAGCAGATCACCTATACCAGCATTTTTTCCCCGAACAAATACTTACAGCCACTATATAGTTTCCTCGCTCCTGTCCCGTGCAGTCGTTGCAAACATTAGTTCAGCTTTCAGCATCTGAAACCTCAGAAGGAATAAACACCACCCAACACTTTTACTCTGCATCTCTCCTGAATCAGTTGGGTGGACATGATCTGCTGGAACTGCAGGCATAACCCTCACTTGCTTTTCCCAGAAGCAATGCCTTGTTTATCGGTGAGTTATATTGGTGGAACGGCTGATGTCTGATACAAAGCTAAAATCGGCCATTACATGTATAAAATACTGGGAATCCCTACCAAAAGCCTTGAGATAGGGTGTCATTTTGCTTCAAATCTACAAATAGCTATGAACTTGCTGTGGTCAGGCTGTATATTTCCAGTCAAATAGGTTTATATTTGTTTTTGTAATATAAAAATATTTGAAGAAATATGCATAATTTTCTGCAATGCAAATCTGCTAAGCTACAAAACATAATATGATATAATATTAATAATTTTGACGGTTACACTTTATGTAACTACTAAATGTTTAAAAGTATTATTAACAAAGACTACAGGAGTCTATAACCTACAGACTGATGCGTTTTTAAAGCTACAGACGGAGGTTTTTAAAGCTTTTTTATATGTATGACAGGATTTTTTGGTATACATTTTTCAACAGACTTGAGGATAACCTTTCTTATGCTCAAAAGTAAAAAAAAAATGACAAAAATGTCACACATGAAAAAGAAAATCTGGCTGGCGGTGCAATATACAGATCCAAGGTCAGATCATCTCAGTGACAAATTCCTTTGCAGAGAAGACCGATGCAGATATGGAGCCATGCTCAGATGTTTTTATAGACATTTATTCATTAAAGAGATCGAACGAGCTCTTTGTGTCACAAAAATAAACATGGTGAGAAAAACTCTCAGCCTGCGAGGTTTCCCCCTCATTCCAGCAAATAATCTGCTTTTAATTCTTTTCAAATAAGCACAAAGGCGCACCCCTTTAAAAGGCACAGATCACAGAACAAGCGCACTACTAGTAGTCAAACTGCTAAAAAATACAATGAAATTACAGTGAAAGTAAAGGAGCCCACCACCAAAAAATTGCAAAAAAACAAACAAAAAACTGAACAGTAGGTTTATAGGAAGCAAGCAGAGGGAGATTTATTTAGAAACTTTATTTTCGACTTTACAGTTTCATTCTTTTGATCTCAGCTGGTCAAAATGGAAGAAAAAAAGAAGCCCCGAACACATCTTGGAACAGACAGCATATAATATTGTCAATGTAAATTTACATCAGAGGTCTTTAGTTTTATCTTACTGGTGTTTTTCTTCAAAAAACAAAATAATTCAAATGTTCACAAATATCTGATGGTTAGTACCAACTGTGAACTTAAACGTTTTGGAAATGTTTTAGTGGTATAGCTAGAAAAAGATAATTGATAATAGGAAAGAAACAACAAGCTTGCAATTAGCACCTTGACTGTATTTTATTTTATTTTTTCATTAACTTATGGATCATCAGCACCTTATCTGGTTGTTTGTGACTAGAAGTTTGTCTCAAACTTTTGCTGCACATTAAAAGAAGTTAGATGATGAGGTCTTTATCCACGTCCTCTGTAGACAGAAAATAAAAAAACATATTAGTCAGTGAGGACATATAAAAGATTGGACATACAGGACAAATAAACTCAAATTGTATTGGAATCTGAGTTTATAATGGTATTTAGACAACAAAACATTTAATACATTAAGTTTATGGTTGTGGTGAAAAGATGGTTTTACAAACAAACCAACATGACAGATTCTACAGCACATCATCACTTATTAATCAAACATGAAACCAGAATGGAACGGGGTGTTTTTTGAAGTATTTTCAATCCGATTATATTATTTATAAGAAAAAGTAGCTGTTGAAGATTCTCAGTCATCCAGGTCATAGTTATTCCAACAAAATTAAAAGTTTGAACTTCCTGGATGGGAAGCGAAACATCTTCACACTTGGAAAATAAAGTCCAGTGTTTTATTAATTTTTTTTTTACTTTTGAAATTTGTTGAAAATAGAGCAGCAGCCATGTCCTACTGATCAAATTCACTTGATTCATGTATGGTCATCAGTCTGACTGCAGCTCTAAAAGCAGTTTGGGCAGTTGGCTACTTTGTATCTTACAGGCGTGTGTGTTAACACAGTGCCAAACAAGAAAGGTTGTATTTTCTGAATAATTTTTTTAGCAAACATAAAAATTGTACCGTAAAAACAGGTCCACCCCTTAGTAATGGGGAGTTGTTCAGGTTTGTTGGCCTGCAAGACCCTATTTGCGGGACAAAACCCTAACCACTCCCTTTTCAGAGGCATGGGCCAGTATCAGGTTCATTTGCAGGCCAAAAATGACCTCAACAACTCCCCATTAAAAAGGGGTGGACCTGTTTTTTCAGTTCAATTTGCATTTTTTCTAAGCCATAACAAGGCTTTTGTTAGGGCTACTTTATAACACAGAAACTAAACACTACTTCAGGCATCTTGAATTGAGAAAGCTTCCTGGACGGGAAGCGAAACATCTTCACACTTGGAAAATAAAGTCCAGTGGTTTGGTTTTTTTACTTTTTAAATTTTGTTAAAAAGAAAGCTGCAGTCATGTCCTACTTATCAAATTCAATTGATTCATGTATTGTCATCAGTCTGACTGCAGCTCTAAAAGCAGAAGTTTGGGCAGGTTGCTGCTTTGAAGCTCACAGGTGTGTGTGTTAACACAGTGCCAGACAAGAAAGGTTGTATTTTCTGAATTAATTGTCCACCACCTCACAGAGATAATCAAATAATACGAAGCAAAACAAATACAAATCCTCCATCCAGTTGCACTGAAAGGCCGGTATTAGAGGGGAAAATCTAGATGACGATAAAGTCATACAAAAACAAGTGTTTTTACTGCTGAAGCTTATAAAGAAAGGAAGATCCCTTACAGCTTCTACATTTTGGCTTCATATTTGTAATAAGTGATAGCAAGAACCTGTCGCGTGTTCTTGTACTTTTGAAGTTACACAGTAAATTTTGCAGTGTTAAGGTTAGAGATAAATGTAAAACCAATCCGAATGCAGTTGGTCCCACTCTAAATTTGTATAAAATCAACTCCTTACATAGTGTATATTTGAGTTTGCATACTTAACACTGGAATTTACTGTGTAGGTGTAAATTCTACTGTTTTCAGATAAGAATTTTGGGAAGTTTTTATTTTCTTAGTTCAAAACACAGTTTTGGATTGAGGCTGTAAAAAATTATTAGCAGTAAAAAATTATTATACAAAACAAACAGGAGGTTGTCCTCCGTGGGTCACTCACGCTCTTTGATGCCGAAGCAGGAGGCCCACTCCTCCAGGGCGATGTATTTGTCGCCGTCAGCATCACATGTCTCGAAGAAGCGGGTGGTGCAGTGCTCCATGGGAATGAGGGGAGCACGCAGAGGAGCAAGCTCAGAGTGGGTCAGGTATCTGATGAAAGCACGACAACACATATAAAGTCACTTTAATCAAATCAGCCCAGATCACCTCAGCAGACGTGTTTAAACTAGGAAGATCAAAGTCGCTTTTTCAAGCCCAAAATGACTGATATGACCATGCATGATGGTAAGAATGTGATTATTAACAAACAAGGGAAGAATATTCTGATAATTCTTGCAATCAGCATTACTGCTTATACAATTGTAGAATGTATTAGTAAGCCTTTAAGTTTGGATTAAAACGGCTAGAGAGGAGAATTAAAGTTAAAAAAATATCTATATTTTTGCAGATATAACAAGTATGTGTACCAAAACTGTGACATCAGGAATAATAAGTTAACCCAAATCCATATGGATGAATTTATTTTTTCTTCTAAATTCTCTAATGAAACATGGATGAGATGTGTAAATATGAAGTATACATAAGCATTACAATATCAGAGGTGTCAAAAGTATTTATGTGTATTACTCAAGTAGAATTAGAAATCTTACTGTATAAAAACACTTTTGTAGAAGTTAGAGTATCAATATAAACTTTACTGCATCACTGTATTAATGGAACATTTTTTCTACAATTCTGGATGATAACTTCCTTGGACTTAATTTTCCTAGTTTTATAACTAATGGTAACAGTGTCAAATTGAACTTTGCATTATCTTTAAAAACTATCTATTTTGGTATGTGGCAAAGAACAAGTTGGTGCAGCAACTGCAAGATATAAATTGTCTGAATAAAGCTAATTTTTTGAAGGGTTTTATTTATTTATTTATTTTTTTTATTTATTTTTGTAATACCATACTAACAAGCCATAAAAAAGAGCATAAATAAAACAAAACTGATGAGTCGAGATAATTGTAGAGATAATTGCAAAAATATGTAAGCAGAAAAGGTAAAGTATAGATTAGCCTAAATCCCTACTTAAAGGTAACAAAGTACTTGTACTTTGTTACTTGACACCTCTTCACTATATCTAGGTTTTTGTGCAGAGATGTAAAATGTTTCATTAGTTCAGCAGCCTGGATCAGATAATGCAGCATCTGCAGCTTTTTCCTCACTTCATGAGCTAAAAGAGGAGCTGAAAATCGTCCCATCAGCTTGTTTTCCACGTTCTTACCCATCGACGGGGTGCTGGTCAAGCTGGCCGAACTGCCAGTGGACAGGGAAGATGAACATGTTGTAGTTCTTCTTGAAGTCACGAGCCAGGAGGTCCAGAGAGTGGTCACCGGCCTGCAGCCTCTTCTCGTTCTCATAGATCTTCTTTACCTGAAGAAACATGACCAGTCTATTTTTATATCCCAGATTTCGCAAAGCTAAATTAATTATAAATTTTTTAAATGTTTTATGGAATGTCAGCAACAGTTTATTCCAACAAATATTTAAGTGAGTAAAATGAATTAATCCATACAGAAATTTTAATATTTTCAGTTGTCCATTAATTGTGAATGGAATTATGAAGTAATGTAGCTCCAAACAATGTTCCTCTTCTTAAATATGGCTCCCTCAAACATCACTACAGTCAACCATCTTTTTTTCTGACACCCTGATGCAGTGTATGAATAATATGAAAGAATAATATCGACTAAATCAATAGAACCCTGCTAGGCTGCTGAAGTCACCGAGAGAAAAGCTTTGTGAGTAAAATCTCAATATGTGAGCATTTTCAAACATGCAGCAGGTTTGTGTTTTTCTGCTTGTATTCTGTATTTTCCATTAATATCTTAGTCTATCAAACGGTTGCTACTGGCACTTTTTTGTCAATTCCAACCATTCAATAACTAGTAAAAGACTCATTCATGTATTTTAATAATGTGCCTTTTCTCACCCTAAGCTTCTGCTTCTCAGTCAGCAGATTGTTGTCCTCGTCACGCTCGTATAGGGTCACCAGAACGTTCTTCAGCCAGTCCCTCATACGGAGAGGGAACTCATTCAGCTCGGTGTCCAGGCAGGGCTCGATGTCTGAACAAAGCCAATAATACCAATAATCAACACAAACTTCAGTCAATTAACTTATTCCTCTTATTTGATGACTTAGGGACATATTATATAACCATAATAAGTATTTACAAGTATTACAAGCAAATCTATGTGTTTTATATGGTAAAATCAAAAGGTCTGCATTGTAAGATTGTTTCAGAGCTTTATGCTCACTTTATTCTACAGACTGACTACTCTTAACTTTCTGAGATGAGATGTGCTGTAATTTCCATCCAAATCCAGCAGCCCTTACTGATTTCCCTAAGCAGCGTACATTGTGTTCAGACAAAACACATAAAAAGAAGAAAGCATGTTTAGACGGAGTCTGCAGGACCCAACATGACAGTTCAACCCACATATCCATCTCAGCTGAGTGTAGACATGAGAGCAGAGAGTCTGCTGAGATGAGTTTTAGCTTCTTCATTTTATCACACCTGTGAGAGGGAACTAACAAACAGGGTGTAAAACAAATACCAGTGTATTTCCCAAAGTGGTGCAGACGAGAGGGGTCAAAATTTCAGCTGAGAAAGGCTTTTCCTTTGCCTGCGGCTTGCTGAGTAATACGGTACAGAGGGCTTTACAATATAATCTGTAATACATCAGAAGAGTTTAATCTCTCACATTTGCAGGGTCCAATGTAGTCAAGGTGAAGCTTGTGGCCCTTCTTGGTTCCCTCCAGAGTGCACTTGGTGGCAAAGAAGTGGCAGGAGGAGTCATAGGTCTTGTTGTCAGTGCCGCAAACCTGGAAACAAAAAGCAAATCAACCAAACATATATATATATATATATATATATATATATATATATATATATATATATATATATATATATATATATATATATATATATATATATATATATATATATATTTGTATAAATATATATATATATATATGTATCAATATTAGGGCTGAAACAATTAATCGGATTTAAGGATTACTGTATTGAAATAATAATTAACTAATTTAGTAATCGATTAATCGCCAACCTGGACTATAGAGACTATAAAATATACCAGTAAATAGACCCACTTAGAGCAATAATTGTACAAAAATTGTAAAAGAATATATAAACATTTTGCATTCAATAAAAAAAAAAATCTTTCAATTGAGGCTCTAACCAGCCTCTTCAAGTGGAAAAGCTTTAGTTTCACCTGGTTTTATTTTGCAAAAAGAATTGTTTAAGGAACCTTTTGCTTAGTAATCAATGAATGGAAAAAAATAATCATCAGATTAATATAAAGAAGACTGATATATAATATATATATATATATATATATATATATATATATATATATATATATATATATATATATATATATATATATATATATATATATATATATATATATATATATATATATATATATATTTTGCATCTTTAAAAAATGCGTTTGGTATCTGATAGATCAGATATTTAGAATGATCGGTATGTATTTAATTTGACAGGAAAACTGATGCTAACAGTGAACTCACATGCTCAAACTCTCCCTCAGCTGGGGGGCAGGTGGAGGGGTCCTGGCACACGCACAAGGGGGTGTTGCTCTCATCAACCTCACACACTTTGCCCTTCTTGCAGTGGTAGTTCAGGCAGGGATCTGTGAACAAAAAGAAAATATATTTATGCAGAGGTTAAGGGTACAAATTAATAAAAACAAAATGACTTTAAAATAGCATCAAATATAGGTCCTACCCATATGATATTTATATCATACCTTTGTGCCTGACAACCAAAGATTTTAGAACAATTAAACAAAATAATTTCTCAGAGACTGTTCAGAATGGATGTATAATTTTATCAAATACTTTTCATTTACTTTTTGTCCAGTTACTAAGGAAGACCCTAACAATTATGGACAATTATGTAACAACTATATCGACAGACTGTATTCCCAGATCACATTTTGATCATAAAATTGTGCAGATAAAACCTCACCAGTTGAAAATTAGTGGAAAACGTTAGAGGTGTAAAATCATTGAAATGCTCCATTCTGGTGACTTAGTAATTTGGACAAATGAGCGGACTGTTCCTCCGTTAATCAGAGAACTAATGATGGTCACTGATTACAATGTCTGTCTAAATGCTGCCACATATTTTGTTCTGCAGTCATTTTGTGTTTCAGTTTGTGAGTTTTTTGTCACTAGATGATTCAGTATAGTGTTGGGTTACTGGACTAACCACAGAGAGCTTTTAAATCTGCTTGTAGGGTGCTCGTCTGTTAGGTCTTTAGGCTACTTTACTCAAGGTTACTTCAGACAACTTATTTCACTGGACTGGATCTTAGGTAGCCATTGTATTATTGCAATGATGCCCAAATTTGGGGTCAGAACATAATATTACTGCTTTTGGCTGCCTTGCTCTCACTTTTTGTCCATCATGCTTTTTAAGATATATTTAATTATACTAATAAGTTATACGAAATCTTGCAAATGAAAAGAAAAAATATGATCGTAGTAGTTATATCTTTTAAGCGGAAAGATAAAAGTTTAAAAAAGTTTTTGAAAATACTGACATACAGCATGCCTTTTGAGGCTAAGCTAAGCTGCCTGGAACAGCCTTACGTCCCTCCAGTTTGGAAATGGTGCCTCTTATTAAGTTTCCTGTGGTTGAACTGGAACACATAATCACAGCTGTCTGCATGCAGAATGAGGCAGTCTGTAATTATGCCTGTTTAGTGTGCCAGTTTAAGCCCTGACCAAACCCTGAAACCTCTGTATAGCAGCATCCAGTCTCTGCAGCCGAATCAGTTTGAGGAGGTTGGTGCTGCAGAAACAGATCCGTTCCTGTAAGACTGCATCAGAATATAGAGGTTCATCTTCTATAGTTTTCCATCTTCTGTCTCCACTTAATCCAGTCTAGATGTATTTACATTTTTAAGGAGACCCACCCTATGTTTTCTAACAGGCCATTAACAGTTTAAAAAATATATAATTATGATTTAGATATATCATTTTCTTTGATAGAAAAATTATTTACTTACTTTCAGCTGCAACATCATCAACCTCAATGGCTTCATCAAACTCTCCAACCTCCACCTGCACTGGGTTGGCTCCCACCTCTGGTTCCTGAGGTACAGCATATATCAAAGATCAGACTTTTAACTGCTGGTTAATCAGGTCTTTTATGACATTAACTTTCATGCTGATTTACTCATATGCTTCTCTTAAAAAAACAAAATGAAATATCATCAGTCCTCCCTAAAGACCAACAGAGTCTGAGAGACTATAAGATCCAGCACTAAAAAACAGCTAAATCTACATGTGGTGAGACCAAAAGAAAAAGAAAAAAAACTAATGGTTTCCTGACCAGCTCAACCAGTGGCTAAAATTAACAGCTGTGGGCTCTCTGGTCCCGCTGGACGTCTGAAGCAGGAAACCATAAAATGTCCACAGAAGAGCTCAACTACTTGTTATGAACAAATTTGTCTAAAATACAGCAATGCTATCTATAAATTATAGCGCTAAAGGAGATATTTTGTCCTAACAGGAGTCAAGAATCTTTATTTGCATTATGGACTCTTAATGAAATTATATTTGACACACTCAGCTCAGAATGCATGTATTTATAACATGGACAAATAACACTTTGACGAGGAAGAGCTCTTAAGGTGTCTCTTTACAGTAAGAGATAAACAAAAACATTCAGAAGATCAAAGGTACAGTAAATGAAATATCAAACTAAAATATTGGAAACATTCACATTAAGCTTTACAATTATTATCATGCACAATTCGTGTAAGAGAATCAATGACATCACAACTTTTTCTCTGGTACCTCTTCATGGTTCAACTTCATGAAAGGCAACATTATAATGAGCAAATTAGCTATAGCTGCTAACACTAAAATTCATACCTTTTACATGTCCAGAAAAAAGAAAAGTCACATATAATCTATAATCAGCTCTGTGGTTTGGAAAACAAATCTTAGATGTTGGATAAAATAAGGGAAAAATATTCAAAGAAAAAAAAAGAAAGAATTTATTCTAGTATAAAAAATCAAGTGAAATGCTATTATGTGACTGGTGAAAGATTGCAGTTTATGTCAAAAAGTTTAGCGTTGTTTTCCTCTCATTAAGCAGAGTTTTGTTCTGCAAAAATAATGAAAGCCTAATAAAATTGATTTTAATAGAAAAAAAGCCATTTTCTGTGTTTGGAAAATATTTCTGCAATTCTCTCAAGACACTATAAGAAGATCTTTGAAGCGATACTTTAAAGTGGGATGTGTTGTCTAAAAAACTAAAATAGGAGTATATGGTTTTTCCTTTGCAAGGAAAATCCAAAAAGAAAAAGAACTAAAAAGATCTCATTGAAACTTTTTTGCTCCTTTTCTGCTCTAACATAGGACACATCTGGACTAACCTCAACAACTGCCTCCTCAGTAACCAGCTCCTCTACAAGCGGTTCCTCCTCGGTCTGAAACACAGAAACAACAATCTGATGTTTAATACAGAAAAAATGGGGCAACCTACGTGAATAAAATTGGCATACACATGAATAACCCAGCAGACCAACTCCCAGGGGAGGAATTACCCTAGGAAGAATGGTTAATCCAAACAGACTTTAAATGGGAAAGCACACACCCGGTTAGAAATACAAAGGAAGTCCATCACACAATAATAGGTGGTCATGGGAACAGAGACACCATCAAGAAGGGAAAAGGCTCACAGAGGGATAAAGACTGGAAACTCTGAGTTAAACTTACAGGAGCAGCGATGGCATGGCCAGCCAGGCACAGGAGGAAGACAATCCACACCCTCATCTTCAAAGACTGGAAAAAAGGGAGATCGTTTTATTATTCATTAAATCATCATGCAATTAATAGACTTATGAGCTGTATTGGAATAAAATATGATATGAGGTCTACACATATTTGTGTAAACAGTTATGGCTCTTTTTTACCAGAACAGTGCTTCTGTTTATACTTGAACAACATATAAAGCAACTTATAGTTTCTTTGTTCATCCAAATTGCTCTAACTTCCACTCATTGTTTATGAAGTGAAGAGGTTTCCTGATCTAACAACATGTGCAGCTAAAGAGACCAATAAATTATCTCAACCGGATTTTCTTTTTTCTTTTTCTTTTTTTTTTTTTTTGATTTACCTGTCTATCTTCTTTTCTCATCGATCCTGTTTGTTTGTTTTTTCTTTTTTTTGTGTCCATTTCAAGTCTGGAATGAATTAATCAGCTTATATTCTTACAACCCTGTTGGTACTCCCCAATCTTTTCAGCATATTACCTCTGGTTTCTAGTCTTTTCTTGATGTCAGTTTGTTTTAAATTAAAGGATAAAAGATGCAGGCTTGTGTTTTAATGCACCTGAATTACACATCCCTTTTTACTGTGTAAGTGCAGAGATTAATAATCCAGATTTGAAAAATGATCAAGATGAATTTAGAGAACTGCTTCTTTTTTGACCTGAAATAACTGACATATTTTCAAGAGTAGGTCACTCCATTCATTAGTGCTTTACATATTATTCTTAAGAATCTACAGCTTTCTTCAAAAACAATTACAAAATATTTAGTTTTTAGAATAATTTTATTTCAGAGAATATTATTTTTATTTTCAAATAAGCAAAAGAAACTAAACGCAAAAGGAACACCAGATTAGCATCAGCTAAAATCAGATCACATTAACTGTGGAAATGCAGTAACCAAATAAGGTTTCTTGAGGAATGCTAATTTTAGAGAACTTTTTTTGTCTTGTTTTTGCATAAAAAAAAGACTGAAACGCACGAAACTCAAAACAACTGATATTGTTCAAAAGAACCTGGTATCGCTGATTTGTGTGCTGCAGGAAATAACATGTGCTGTGTGGCTGAAAAAGGAGGAAACTAACGACATCGGTATAAACGCTCCAAAAAAGCTGTTTTCAAAGGAAAATGTTTCAGTTCTACATTCCATGTTAAAATGATTCAAAGCAATCAAGTTGGGAAACTCACACATCAAATGTATTTAAAAGATTCCAACCATTGAATTAACATATTTTTCCAAATTTCATTGTACTGGACCCACAGCATAAAGGAAAAAATAACGTTTAAAGAAGCCAAACAGCAGGATAAAATATTTAAGATAGGGATAATGGTGCTTTCCAAGTTGTTAATAACACATAGTGAGAAAGCTCTTCCACCTCTTGTTTATTTTAGTGGGTTTTTTTTTTTTATGTTTCTGCTTGACACATTAAAAGAAAAAAAACTGATTGCACTGCTAAGAATAATGTCTACATTAACAGATAAAGAAGATATAACAGGACTTAATATCTATTGTGTATATTCTTCTAACAGAAAGAAAGTCAGTAAAATTGGTTGAAGACATTGGGGGGAAAAAAATTATTTATGTCTAACCCAAGTCTACAGTTGGTTGAAAGTGAAAGGTGAAAAGCGTAATTTTCAGATCATAGAAAAGACGTTGAAAACCCAGTTTATCAACATATTTTCAGCATTACTGGACTTAAGTGTGAAGAAATCTGACCGACCAAATAGCCCAATTTTCAACAACTATTGAATCAAGACTATGATGGATCGACCAGATTTAGACTAAAAACCAACGTCTAAATGACATCTGGTGTTTCGGTGATTTCTCTTTAATGGTTTATTTCATTTTGTTGTTACAAGTAGGAAATATTTTTGGAGAACTACATTTTAATCAGATATCTCCAAGTATCTCTATAAACTGTATAAGTCTGATGTCCTTTTTCAATTTAAAACAACCACCTCATAAACATCACAGTTTTGTTGTCAGTCCATCAATCTTTGTGCTTTTTTTCAAGAACTCCCCCAGAAAATAATCTCACCAGCTTAGAGGTGTTTTTGCATTCAGGAGCATAAATCAAAGAAACACAGAGACTCAAAGCATCAAATAAAGCCTCAGAAATGTGTCTGCACACAGGTTGTGTTGACATTTGAGCGGGACTTCAAGTGTAAACAGGCTCCTGTCTCCATGTGCACATTCATTTATCCAACCTATTTTTTCCACTCAGGTGTTAGCTCGGAACCGATTAGGTAACTTTAAATGTTTATGTATTTTGTCTAGGAGAGAAACATTTCAATAAAATGTACTAATTCTGTACTACTTTTTAAACATCTAAAACTTTTTAAAAGGAGACTGAAGATTTTTGCATAAGCTGGTAGTAAAGCTATCATGCAGATATTTGTTTTTCGCTTGACACCGTCAAAAACTAAACTTGTTTATATTTAGTTCTACAATTGCCATAAATTCATTTTATGACACCTGATGCCTATAATTGCTGTAAGCAAGATTGAAAGAACTAAGAGGACTGTGTCTGTTTTCTAGTTAATAAGCTTAGTTTTACAGAGGAAGAGTTGTTTTGAAGAAAAAAAAAAACTTCGAGTGCCATTACAGGGAATAATATTATAAATGTAGTTCTTTTGTGAATCATTTTGAAGAAGATTAATTAATCAAACCAAAACTATTAATTGAACAAAATAAACATTCTTTTTTAAGTGATGTATTTTCATTAGAAAATGTTTGTGCTTCCATCTGGTCAAGCTGCTTATCTGCAAGATTTAATTTACCTTAAATTTGTGTTTTTTTCTTTGAAAGGCTAACTTTATAAGCATTAAAAAGGCGATTCAGAGATATCTTGTTCCAACTTGTGTTTTTATCTTTATAATATTCTTTTATTTTTTTGTGTCTTTTTTCTTAAAGCTTAATTTTGATTGTAAAGGGTTAAGAAAAGCATAATTCATGGACACTCTTAGTTACACAATATAACAAGCTTAATTTTAAGTGACTTATTATTGCAGAAAATGTAGTGCAACTGCTAATCCAGAATGTGAGCATTTGCCAGGAAGTAACTCTTCAGGAGAAACATTCAGAATAAAAAATAAATAAACCTTGCAAAAAGAAAATAGTTTGATGTTCAAAATTAGCTCATTAAATGTAAATGTATCTTAACCATCATTATTATATCTTCTGTTTAAAAAGGTCAGCAATTTCAATTCAGATTAATTGTGTAGTTCTGGCAAACTGTTAAAACTCAGAAAAAGGCAACAATGCTGATAAGAACAATTAATCAATAAGTTTTCTCCTAGCAATATCACAAACATGTTTGTTATGTAAAATAAATGTTTATGTCATTTAACCCTAACTAAATAAACTAAAAAGTAGGAGTTCATGAGAGCTTATTTTTGACATGGTGGCTGCTGTCATCCAACATGCTGTTCTTAGCCTGGAACAGACTAGGATGTCCTAGACTGAAGTACTGTTTCTGATCAGAATCACTTTGAAAGCAACACATTATATAAACCACCAGACACAAATTTCCTGTTAGCTGCCATGAAAAAAGTATTCCCTGGATCTGTCTCTCCCCTCGAGCTGTCTGTCTAAGCATTTGTTGTAAAATTCAATGAGAAACTTCTTCTGCAGAAGAAACAAGGGTTCCTTTGTTTGGTAATGGAGCATCGCATTGCTTAGTCTTTCTTTGTAGATTGTGTCCTTCTCTCGCTCCGTGCAATCAGCTGCATCTCCCAGACATCAAGAGGAAATCTGTTATGCATCAAAGGCTACATAGGGGTAAGTCTGAATGTCTGCAGGGGCCAAGGGTTAAAAAAAAAAGTCTAAACTGTTTAAAATCTTGACATATAACAGAGATGATTTCTTTTTTGTTGCAAAAGCAGTAGCAAAAAGCAAAGTTGCAAAAACAGTAGCAAGGTTGATCCTTTTATGTCTTCTGACAGGGACTTTCATTTAATTTAACATTTAATTTCTTCTTGATATGAGCTAAGTTTCAAGACTGAAGAAACTCTTGGTTGCGTGCAGATTTATGAAAAGCAGGGCCCAAATAGTCTGACATGTTCAGACACATGCAGTGAAAAGGGTAACATTGGGATTGCATTTAGTAAATCTGTAGTCTGACAAACCCTCCAGCAGAGCGAAAATATTCTGACATTTAGATGAGAGACATTTGGTATGCTGTTCAGCAAACACACTCAGCTGTGTCTGACTTGAAATGACAGGCATGTTTGCTTTGGGTTTAATTTGGATTCTTTCCTGGGAGTAGGTTGCACCAAGAGACAACACAAAACGACAGAGGAGCCATGTTCCACTGCATCTACAGCAGCTGTATGTGTTCTTCACTTCATCTTATCAGTAGCCAGGTCAAAACACCAAAATGTCCTTCCATGTTGACGATTAAAATAAGCATAAAACAAAATAATCTATGTTGATGATACTCAAAGCTTGAAGGAGAGGAAAGCCCGGCGCAGAACCTTTAACCTCAGTTTTAATCATGACTTTTTATTTTGTTAACCAATAGTTTAATATGCTCCTATCTATCTCCTGCTTGTTTTTTGTTCCTTTTCAAACATTAAAAATACATGCGATAAAAAGAACCAAATACCTTTGTTGCATACTGAAAACTTTTGAATATAAATAAAATAGGGGAAGAGATGCAATTGAATGGTTGATACGTCTGGGCTGATATCAGCATTAGCCTGCTTATTAAGCTATGTTTTTTTGTGCATTATTTCCTACTATATCTCTGTAGTGTAAACAAACAAAAACAAACAAACAAAAACAATGTTATTTCTAGTGCAATGGATAAAAAAATACTACTAGCACCACTTAAAAATGTCTTACTTTTACTCCTTTACACTAAGAAAATGCAAATGCAATTTTCAACACCACTTCAAAACTGCATTCTCACCATCCCCCCTTCCTTTGTTTGCAGCTTTTTATGCAAGCGCTTTTTGAAACATATGATTAGCTAAATTAAAATGTACTTTGAGCCATACTTGCGCGTATAAT